AAAAAAAAAAAAAAAAAGAGAGAGAGAGAGAGAGAAAAGCTAGTGTCACAGAAGGAAGACAGTTTTTAAGAAGAGGCAAACGGAAAGGTATCAGGAAACTTCAAATGGGATGAGAACTTCATTAAAGGCCATTCGGTTTAAGATTTAGGACTTTGATGGTCACCCTTGAGAGACTAATGTGTAATGAACAGTGTCCTCTTCTATTTACAAACCCTGGTACACACTCCGTTTTCTTTACATTTTAGGGGTATTTTGATCTCTTACCTTCTGGAATGCAAATATTGGGCTGCTTTTGTTTTTTTCACACTCAGAGATATTGCTATCAAATGAAAAACTGTAGTTGCCTGTTTCTTCCCATATTCTCCTATAAACATACTGTGTTGCCAGGGGACTGATCAAAGCCATAGCGAACGCGCTAAGGAAAATGGCAGGTTCTACAAATAAAATCTTCATATTGCTTGGGCAGATAGCTGAATTCTACAAAAAAGAAACGAGAGAGAGAGAGAATCAGTTGCATTCTTCTCCCAAAAGCTAGATTTTCCAAGATGGGGAAGTTAGAAGACTTTTGTGGAGTAAACAAGCCAACTAGAGAACAGAGAAGCAGTAAGCACTTCCTAGGAGAAGGCTGTCATCCTTTCGGTTTTTAAGACTAGGACCTTTGAGGACTCCAGCAGCCTTTAAGATGATTCTTTGAAATAATCTTAATAAGCTGTCGCCCATCTTGGTTAGCCAATGATGGAATTACGGTTCCCACACTGTATACTGCCAGCTGGTTTTCATAAGCAAAACAATGAAGTCCCTCTTGGGACGCTGTAGTTACACAACTGTTATTGTTATTTTGCTGCGTGTTAATGACCGACAGGGAGGGGCCTTTTAAAAAGCAGCTTCCAATCGAAAGGGGCTTTTATTCTTCAAACTCACCCCACGATTACTCTTCCCGCTAGGCTGCGTGCAGGTCCCCCCTTTCCCTCGGGAGGCGTCCTCCGGTGCCCTGCGCTGGCGCTGCGCCCCAGGGGTTCAGGGGCAGCCTGCAGGGCGGGGGCGGCCGAAGACTCAGCGATGAATTCACCCAAATACGTCTGTCAGGGAAACTCTCTAGCTCTATTTGAAAGCAAACCAAGGCAAGCGCACTTCCGCGCAGGGTGACTCCTGCGACGTTCTCCACGCAGCCCTCTGCTCCTCCGCGGCCCTAAGGACTCGGCCTCAGGTGGCTCCGGGAGGCTCCGGCGCACGGGGCTGCAGCTCCACAGGCGGACTCAGTCTGGGGTTCGGTGGGTAGGTCCGCGGAGCCTCCAGCGCTCGGCAGTGACTCAGCCGCCACCAGTTTGGCATCTCGCCCGCGAAGGAGGTGGGGTCGGTGCCCGCTATGCTGTCACTGTCCTCTCCGGCTCTTCTGCGATTGGGCCCTTGCTCGGCGCCCCTGCTACGATTGGTCCATCGCGACGTCACTCTCGCGTCCCCGCCCCCGTCCCGGGGCCCGGAGCTGATCGCGTGCCCTAGAGCCGAAGCTGCGCTGCTGTCCGGTGCCAGGCACGTCTGGTTCTGAGCCTCGCTTTGCACAGAAGCACGCAGAAGATCTGTTGCCAAAGAAACATGTTTGGACTCCAGCTCCCCATAGCATCCGGGTTAGCAGGGCAGGTGTCCGCAGAATAAGCGTAGAAGAGGGGCGGGCCCAGGACCTGGGGAGCCGGTCAAAGGCTGAGAAAAGAGAGTGCTCCACGCAAGGAGGTAGCAGTGGCTTGGAATGTGGTCTCTGGCTCTTCCAAGTGGTGTGTGAACCTCGTATCTTTGTCTCCCAAGTGGGGATAAATGACAGGGTTGTTATAATTAAACCCTTCACATGTAAACACAACGTATATTCCCTGGGGTGTATATATGTGATCCTTCCCAACACAGCCACCAGGGACACGCTTGTGGCTGAGTGAGTTGGGGTTATTACTTCTTGCAGCCAGGAGGAACGCACAGGTAGGGAACCGTAGGGGTACCTCAGTTAGAAGGTGTTAGAATTTCGTATGGGCTTGTGATATATGATTTTGGGAAGAGTTCAAGAAAGCAAGGGCTTTCTCTGGATTGGCGGCAGCTGGGAACTGAGGGTAACTGTGATTAGCTATCTTAATCTTGTTTAGAAGGAATCAAGACGAGACAGAGGCTAAAACCATCCTTGATAAAGAAGCAGCAGTCACACTTACTAGTCATTCTGTGGTTTAAACAATGTTCAAGTTTTGTCTATGTTCAGATTACAAAGAGGTTTTGTCTTCCTCTTGATCAGGATTATAGACCAGGGCCCAGGTAGGCAGAGGCAGAAGGATTGTTTGAGCTCAGAGTTCAGAGACCAATCTGACCAAAAGCTCTAGACTGAGGTCTCTACTAAAAAGGGAAACAGGCGCGGCATGCAGTGGCTCATGCCTGTAATCCTAGCACACTGGGAGGCTGAGACAGGTGGATTGCCTGAGCTCAGGAGTTAGAGACCAGCCTGAGCCAGAGTGAGATCCCATCTCTAAAAATAGCAGGGTGCTGTGGTTGGTGCCTGGCTAAGGCAGGATTTGCTTGAGCCCAAGAGTTTGGAAGTTCCTGGGAGATATGTTGATGCCACTGCACTTTACCCAGAGTGACAGAATGAGACTCTGTCTCAAAAAAAAAGAATTAAGGATTATAGACTGGCCAGTGATGTGTGCTGTTGGTGTTCTATGAAATGAAATTGTTTTCATTCAACAAGACACAATGGTTCCAAAAAGCTGTTTGCAACACCAAGCCCCAGCTGACAGTTCCAGACCAGCACCTGGATGTCAGAGTTACTTTCTCTTCCTCAATACTATGCCATTGAATGCAAAGTCTAAAGTCTTAGGTTGGAATCCTAATTTCCACTTGGTAGTTTGTAAACTCAGACTTGCCACTTGATTTCTCAACTTCTTCAAATGAGCATTTATGAAGCACTTATGAGTTTCAAACAAGGGGGCATAGATGTTGGAAAGAAGCTGTACAAACATTAATAAGGCATAGTTGGCTGGTTAGACAGATAATACTTTTAAATTGTGGTATTTGGAACTAAGTAGTAGATTAAGGACATATTCACAGTGGAATGGCCCGATGAGACCAGTTAGTCTGAACAGGAAAGATAGTGATCTGACTACCCAAAAAGAACACAAGAAAGAATAAATGAAATAATTTGTGGGTGTTTTGGTTTGTGTGGGGGTGTGTGTGTGTGTTTGAGACAGAGTCTCACTTTCTTGCCCTGGGTAGAGTGCTGTGGCATCACAGCTCACAGCAACCTCCAACTCTTGAGCTGAAGTGACCCTCCTGCCTTAGTATCCCAAGCAGCTGGGACTACAGGTGCCTGCCACAACACCTGGCTATTTTTTAGAGACAGGGTCTTGCTCTTGCTCAGGCTGGTCTTGAACTTCTGAGCTCAGGCAATCCACCTGACTTGGCCTCCCAGAGTGCTGAGATTACACACATGCGCCACCGTGCCCAGCAACAATTTCTGTATCATGTTAGTTACTATTTTTAAAATAACATTCATTTTTGTGCTACTGAGATCTACTTTCTAAATATTTTGGCTGGCTTAGACCCTCTTTTTAACTGTCCTAACTATTAATGTAAAGTAACATGATCACTTCAGGTGATTGGCTCCTGTAACATCAAGAAGGTGAAGGTCATGGCACAGATCTTACTATCTTAAAACAGTAAAGCTCTACATCCATCTTGGATCACTGGAGAACTTTACTGCTATCACTTGCACTCAAGGACACAGATTGATGGAACCATCATTTGAATGTTGTTGCTACCACCTGGAGAGAATGGAATCTAATGAATCTGACACCAGCTCTTAAAGGTTTCCCTCTGACAATGATACAGGCCACTTTTGTTCACATTTGATTGGGGAAAACAAGGACCATGTGGAAAAAGACAATCCTATCTTATGCTCAGAAGTAGAAGGACATATCAATAAATAACTCTAATGCATTTCCACGTGCCCAGGACATAATTTCTCATGGAAATCAATAGAAAGGGAATGGCATTTAGGACATGTCTTTTCTTGTGGGGCAGAAAGCATTAGTATCCAATATATATCCACGCTTCTCTTTTTCCCTTTTTTTTTTTTGAGACAGAGTCTTCTTTGTCGCCCTTGGTGGAGTACCATGGTGTCACAGCTCAACTCTTGGGCTTAAGCAATTCTCTTGCCTCAGCCTCCCAAGTAGCTGAGACTATAGGCACCCGCCAGAACACCCAGCTATTTTTGTTGTCGTTATTATAGTTATCATCGTTTGGCAGGCCCTGGCCAGGTTCGAACCTGCCAACCCTGGTGTATGAAACCAGTGTCCTGGCTGCTGAGCTACAGGAGCCGAGCCTATGTTCACGTTTTTTGTCCATACTCTTCCACATGAAGAAGAAAGTCAGGCCTTCTTAATGTCTTCTGCTGTCCATCCTTATGATGACAATTGTTATGCAATCTTTTTTCTTTTTTTTCTGAAATAAAATTAAGTGTTTGAGTATGTATTAAATCCAGGAAGCCTTAACTGACTGTTAATTGGAGTCTGCAAATCTGCCACTGTACTGTGCATTGTGGATGAAACAAAAGAAGTCAGTATCCCACAGTTAATCATCAAAGAAGTTTCCCGTTATGTAATAAGAATAGATGGAAATATATGAAAGGAGCCAAGTGATTCTGAAACCAAGTATATGGAAATTATCCAGATCGGTCCCTCCCATTCCTCCTCATAGGCTCCCCCTCAAGCCTTCTTCCTTCAAAGACTCAGAGAGAAAAAATAACAAATAAAGACTAAGTGTACAAAGAGCAGTGCCCATTCACCCGGCATAATCTCCCTGGCAGTGTTTTGAAAATAAGTTTATTCATCAAGGCAAAGGCCTCCAGGAGGATTTTGAAATTTTATGTTTTCAGTTCAATGACCTAGAAAATTCCATGCCAGCATATTATGAATTGCCTCTGCGATCGAGTACTGACATTTGATTCCAGCGTGTGTATTTGTATTTCTGCTTAGGCTCACACTGGCTGCAAACAGATATACCTTAATAATTTCAGACTAATGAGAAAACAAGTGGACTAAATATGCGTATGTAAGTGATATGCCCGAGCTAAGTGAAGAGCAAACAATGTCATACTCTCTTGTCCAAGATAAATTTCTAGAGTATTCCAATAAAAAGTTGGGAGACTTTAGTCATTACCTGACACACAAATAGATACACCAGACTCAGAAGAGCCTGTGCAGTGCTGGGCAATGCCGTATTCAAGTGGCAAAAGCCTAAATGGAAGATAGTATCTATGAAATGTTGTCGGTTTCTAGAAGAAAATGGCTTTTTTCCTTCTGAAAATTGGTAAAGATGTGAAGAAAAGGCCAACGTTATTCGAACTACTGCTTAGTAGATAGATGATTGATAAGACTCTAACATGATATGCGTCCAAGCAGAAATTATTGAAAGGAAATGTAATCAGATCATATGATCTTGGTTAATAATTTACCAAAACAGACCTAAATAGAGAAATTCATAACCTGACTTCGACCTTTGTATTTCTTACCCCCTGTTGCTTTGGACACTACGGAACAGATTTCACCTTCTAGAAATGTTCTCCCTTTGTCTTTCTGCTTTCTGAGAGCTCCTTCTCAATTTCCTCTGCAAACGTGCTTGTCCATTGGTGCCATTCCTCAGGTCCTGTCTCAGCTCCCTGCTTCTCCCTACTCAATCTCATCTGCACGTGTGACTCACCTACCTACCACCAATACCCTGGCCACTCCTCAATATCGTACCTCAAGTTCACCCTCTTCTCTTGAACTTGACACCTAGAACTTCCACCGGAATATTTTTTAAAGACTATATATTTTAAACATACAAAGCAGATATCATCTTCCTCATAAATCTGATTCCCTCTTATAACCTGTGTTTTAGTCAATGACATCATCTGTCCTGTCAACAGAGACAGAGACTTGGGACTCATCCCTGACTTTTTCATCACCAGATGCATCATATTTTATATCACAAATGTAACTGGCATTATATATACCTCTTTTAGGTGTGTGGTTATAAGGCAGGTAGACCCCCAGTTTGGGAACATTTTAGCCAAATAACTCCTTTTTGGTTTCTCTAAGGTTTTGTCTCATCATTGGCCCATTGGTGAGTGGCATTTGAAGATCGTTGGAGCCGACGTGGGAGGATATGGAAAGGGACCAAGGTGTTCCCTTGTAAATCAGAAATCCTCACCTTTTCCCCTCAAGGTTTCAAGATGTTATAACACTGGTACCAGCCACAAGCACTGAGGGTGGCAGGTTCAAACCCAGCCTGGGCCAGCTAA